TCATAAATATTATTTATAATATATAGTATTTGTATATTAATAAATATTACTTTATTGGATTACTAATTTCTTTTAATTATTTTTTTAACTTATTTTTATTGGATTAATTTTTTTTTTTTTTTTGGACAATACCACTACCATCCTAATTTATTTAAAAAAATCTCATCCATCCTATCACTATCGAACATAAGCCGGGTCATTTTTCATTATTAAGTACAGTCAATCAGATGTACAATCAAACAACATGATTTATTTTCCAATCAGAAAACTTTCCCAACAACATTTTACCTGATAAAAATTTTCTAAAGAGAAACTATCAAACTGAACCTAATTATATACCATATATTATTTGTTATAACTATTGGAGTCTCGGTCCATGACATTCGATAAAACTAATGTAATGGAATTCCAACACTTTTATTTGCGTTGAACTTGTGAGGCTGTGACTATAGATTTCATGATTTTCAATGAACCTCATATATTTTTATTTCCATACGAATTACTGATGGACTTTATTATGGCATTGAACCATTACTAGATCGTTGAAAAATAGATGAAATCTAAACTTTTTTTTTTTTTTTTTTTGTCGAGGTATTAATCGGCATTTCCAACAGTTTTATTTGTTGTAAGATCCAGTTTCTTTTATTGTTTTAGTACATCTTCCCTTTAGAGCGAGCCGTGAAACACCCCAATTTCAGAAACTCAATTGATGATGGGAATTCAACACATGCATGGCATGCCTACTAAAACCCTCGAGTTAAAAAGGAGTATGAAGAAGCCATCAGTTAAGCTTCCTCTACCTTAGAAGTAAGGTTAAAATTCTGGTATGCTTTCTTAAAAGATGAACATTGTTATGTCCTTTTTTTTTTTTTTTTTTTTTTTTTTTTTTTTTTTCATTTTTGTGATCCCAATAAATATTCCAGGAACATGTGGTTGTCTTACCAAAACTAGCAGCGTTTTACTGGAGAAAATTATTGGTGGATGCATCCACCCAATATTTTTTATTTTATTGTCCTTGTTTATTTGAGATTATGCTCAGATCACGTACCATATCTTATTAGGTGAGACTGGCCCCATCTCTAGATTGCCAATTGCATTAATTGTATTATATTACATGACAAACCATCTAAATCAATAATAAATAAAAAATTAAAGTTTCACAGCTAGTACCTACTCACAATATAATAATACCTAGTCATAATATAAAAAATTAGTGTTGTAGATAGCAGATTTTTTTCTAATAAATAATATTTTTACTAATTTTTATTCTAAATGTTATTTTATACTTTTTTTTTTTTTTATTTTATTAAATTGTAGATAGTATTTATATTCAATAATAAATATATATCAATTTCATTAAAAAAAATTTCTTTTAATTTTAAAATCAAATTAAAGATTCATTAATTTTCTTTATTTATTTATCTAAATTATTTGTTTAAATTTAAAAAAGAATAAAAGCACTTTAATTTTTATAATTCAATATTTTCTTACTTTTTTTTTTATAAATTCATACTTTTAAAATGTTTAGAATTTTTTATTTAGTTTTTTTTTAAATAAACTCATATAATACATGTGTCTTACACCTAATTTGTAATAATAACATTCAACAAATCGTCTGCGAATCGTCCCACTTTACGTTCACTTATCTAATTAAGGAAAATAATATAAACAATAGTTCTCTTATTAATTTAGCTAAATGAACGAACATAAACAATAACCTTTCGTTTATGTACGTTTGGTTATATTCGTTCATTCATGTTTGTATTTATTTATGTTTTGTTATTAAATTCATATACTATTATATATATATATATATATATATATATATATATATATATATATATATATATATATATATATATATATATATATATATATATATATATTGTAAGAACGAGTGAAGTGAAATTTCTAAGATGCTTAAGTTTTAGAATTTTTGGAATTCTTAAAAATACCAAAAACTGACTTTATAAATACCATCAACATATAAGAAATGTTAACAGACATTTTTTATGTTTCTATTATGATTTTTATTTTCTTTCATGTGTTTTTTTATATTAATAAATGTTTGTATTGATTCATTTATGATTTTCTTAGGTTCGTTCGCTTTTAATTATTGATGTTTCCTTAAAATCTTAAGAAATTTAAACAAACCAACACTTTTAAATAATTTGCAAAACAAGCAAAAATGAAAAATAAATTTTATTCATTTATATGTTTGTATTGGATATTTTGTTCTATAAAATTAAATGAGCAAATACAAATAAACTTGGTATTCGATCGATACGTTTAGGGCTTTAATAATAAACATAAGTTCTAAATGATGATGTCGAAAAAAAAAAATAAACGTCCAAACACGTGAATTGCTCTTCATACATATCTTATGAATTGATTATACATAAGAGAGATATCAACGGTGACTTTCGAAGTCGGATACGCAAAATATATATATATATATATATATATATATATATATATTATATATATATATATATATATATATATATATATATATATATATATTATATATATATATATATATATATATATATATATATATATATTTTGTAAGAACGTGAGACCAAATCTAAAAATAATTTTGTGAATCATTCTAATTTTGTGAGACCGTGAGATCAAATCTAAAAATAATTGTAAAATGCAAAATAAATGGAAAAAATCCAAAAACTCTTTTTTTAAATATTATTTTCGGAACTTGAATTAACTAAAAAAAATATAAAAAAAAAAATAAAAAAAATTCCGTTTTTTTTTTTGAAAAATACATGAAATATTCTAAATAGAATATTACACTGACATATTCTAAAGAATAATTTTAAAATGCAAAATAAATGGAAAAATCTAAAAATTCTTTTTTTAAATATTATTTTCGGAACTTGAATTAACTAAAAAAAATAAAAATAAATAAAAAAAATTCTATTTTTTTTGAAAAATACGTGAAATATTCTAAATAGAATATTACACTGTACGTATTCTAAAAATAATTTTAAAATACAAAATAAATGGAAAAATCAAAAAGTTCTTTTTTTAAATATTATTTTCGGAACATGAATTAACTAAAAAAATAAAAAAAAATGCGTCTCACGGTCTCACAAAATATAGGTGGTCTCAAATGAACCTAACCCTATATATATATATATATATATATATATATATATATATATATATATATATATATATATATATATATATATATATATAGGAAAAGTAAATATACCCTTAAAGGTATATAAGCTTAGGTATCCAAACTCATAATAATACGTCGTTTTGTTTGATATATTCATTATAATATTGTTAAACTTCAACCATTAACTTGATTTATATTTAGTATTTTTAAAATTTCACTATTATCTTCCTCTTACATCACATCTTTTTGTCGAACACTTCCTAGGCTATATATATTATTATTGAAAATAACAATTATGTAAGAGAAAGATAAATATGAAATTTATAAAAATCTTTGAAATAATTCAAGTTAGAAGTTGAATTATAAGAACATTGGACAATTACAATGTCTATATATGATACAAAGCGATGTAGTATGGTTAGTTTGGGTACCTAAGCTTATATACCCTTAAAGGTATATTCACTTTTCCCTATATATATATATATATATATATATATATATATATATATATATATATATATATATATATATATATAATTGAGAAAAAAAAAAGATTGAGAATGCGATAATCATTCTCAGTCAATCATTTATCTAACATGTTTAAAATAAAATAAAAAAAAAGCGCGTGAGCATTTTCATTAACCGTATCTCTGTAAATTAGCAACTTTTTACATAGATCTTAGATGTTCGTTGTTATTAGTTTCCAATTTGATGATATCTTTATCTCGTTTGAATCGGATATGAGGAATTCATTATCAAAATTGTTTTCTTTATATAACTCGTTAGCAATTATACGTATTCATTCCATTAATCGTGAAGTTTCGCATCTGTGTTTCAGTTTTCTACTTCGTACTGAGTTTCCGATTTGATCAGGTATGTATATCGTTTGAATCGGATAGATCGGAGTTCATTATCAAGATTATCAAGTTTCGAATATGTATTGGAGTTATTTCATTGGATTTTTGTTAAGTAGTTTGAGATATTTATTTCGAATCGGAGCTGATTTAATTTTTAATCGAATATATCGTTGTAGTTTTTACGCTGTGTATTGAAAGAAATTGCTTAATCGAATATATCGTTTAAGTTTCTTTCAGATATTTTGTACGTTGAGGTGAGATATATTCAAAATTAACCAGGTTTTCATCTTTACAACTTTTTTTGTGAGATATATTCGATATTAAGATTGTTTTTGTTTATTTATATAGATCATTTGGTGTATTATATCGAATTCTAGTGTTATTGATGGTGATTTGTATTCTTCTATGAGAGAGAGAGTGAAGAATAAGATGTTAAGAACTCATTTTTTGAAGGTATCAGTTATTGAATTATTTTGTTGTTTTTAATTTTGTTGATTATCATTTATTTACATATGAATATGTTAATATGAATAAATTGTTGTCTTATTCATATATGAATAAACGTATGATAATTGTAATTTCTAATTTATTATTTTTTTCGCTTCATTCATATATGAATAAGTTATGTTTTATTTTATATATTTTGAATACTCATAAATTTTATGTATTCATATATGAATGTTTTTATTCATATATGAATGTTTTTTGTTTTCTTTATATGAGTTTTATGTATTCATATATGTTATTGTTTTATTCATGCATTATTATTTTAGGTGGTGAATCTTGAAGTTCAATACATGATGCACAATATTGTGATGATATAATTGGAGAACATGTCTATAAGCCACATGTACCTGTTCAACTTATTCCATTTAAGGGTTTAATCTTCAAATCATTAAAGTTGGCTATCAAAATGTATTCTGAGTATGCTAAAATTTGTGGATTTGATGTTAGACTGAGCACACAGTCAAGGTTTGACAACAAGATTATAAAGAATAAACATGTTATATGTAATCGTGGTGGTAAACAGAAAAAAGAAATCTTGTGATACATTAGGTACAAGTGGTGTTAGGAGGAAACGAAATTCAAATTCAAGAGCTATTGGTTATCAATTTGATGAACTTCACAACCATCCACTTGAAAAGATTATATTTGAATCTGTGTATGGAAATCCAGATTATAAAGTTTTTCAGTTTGATGAACTTCACAACCATCCACTTGAAAAGAGAAGCGATTTAAAAAAAGTGAGACAAATGTCATATTCAGAAAAAGAGTTTAGTGTGCGTGCTTCCACATCAAAAATAGGTCCAACTATGGCTCATAAGTTGAGGGCAAGTTTGAGAGGTGGGTATGACTTTATAAAGCCAAAAGTAGTTGACTATAAAAATTTAAGGAGAGATATCAACAGGGTTATTGGTTATAAAGATGCCCAGATGATAGTAAACACAATGAATTACCGTTGAGCTCACTATCCAAATTACTCATTTGAGTTTAATTGTCAAGATGATGTTTTGGACTGTATGTTTTGGGCGGATGAAATGGAGAAGGCATATTATGCTGAATTTGGTGATGTTATCTCGTTTGATGCGACTTTCCGAACAAACAAGTAAGTTGTTTTATCTACTTTTGTTTATAGCTTATTCATATACGAATATTTTTATACTCACTTATTAATACATCAAAAATTGACTTTAATGAACATTTTTTTTTGTGTGTTAGGTATCGAATGGTTTTTGTTCTGTTTACTGCTATTGACCATCATAAAAAATCGGTTACTGTTGGATCTGGGTTGCTAAGCAATGAAAACATTGAGTCTTACTCTTGGTTGCTTAAAGCATTTCTTGAAACTCATGGGAAAGAACCAACACTTGTTTTAACCGATCAAGATGCTGCAATAAAACAAGCTATTGAGAATGTGTTTCGTAATTCAAAGCACCGATTATGTATGTGGCATATAATGAAAAAGTTGGAAAAAAAGGTATTATTTTAATATATTTCAAATATATTACTTATTAGTATATTCATTTATGAATATTGATTGTTATTTTACTTATTATTATTTATTCATTTATGACTATTTTTGTTTTAATACAGATATCAGATCATTTATTTACTAACACAGACTTTAGAAAAAGGTTTTTAAAGCTTGTTTGGGACATTAATATGAAACCTGATGTTTTTGAGGTGAAGTGGGGTTTGCTTATGAAGGAATTCAATCTTGAAAACACAAGATGGTTTAAAGACGTGTTTACAATACGTGATTCATGGATAACTGGATATTTAAGTGATATTTCAATGTGTGGTTTGATGAAGACTACATCGAGGTCAGAGAGTATGAATTCATTATTTAATACATACTCAGAAAGTGGGAACTTACTTTTCAGTTTCATAATGAATTACGACACTACCATTCAAAAGCAAAGGAATACTCAATGAGATCTTGATAAGGCATCAAAGAAAGCATCATATAAAATGCAAACACCTCGAGAAATAGAACTGCAAGCATCAAAGGTTTATACAAGTACATTATTTTTGGAGGGGCAGAAAGAAATATATAAAGCATGTTTTTTCTGTACATACTCATATGTTGGTATTGAAGATGGTTGGAAAGTTTACATTATGCAGCACAACAACAGTAAAAGTGATTTTAAAAATGAATTTAAGGTAATTTTACTAGTTTTTTATGAAAAATGTAATAGTATTCATATATGAATATGAGAATATTCATATATAAATATGAGAATATTCATATATGAATATATGAATATTATATGAATATATGAGTGTTGATATGAGTATATAATTATATGAATGTAAATGTGTAAATTTTGTTTTTGTATGTAACGACCAAAATTTTCAACAAAATTTAAACTTTTCAAAAACAACCCATTTTAATAATGTTATTACAAAAAGGTTTTCAATACATTTATTATCAGAGTATTACCAGAATCATATCATAAAACACAAACTCGAGGAGCGGTACGATCACGCCTTTGCCTTGCCACGTTCTCCTGAAGAACCTGAAAAACATTAAACCATAACTGTAAGCCCGAAAGCTTAGTGAGATACCCCTAAAATACCAACCACATATACCATACACATAACATAACAAATCACCGAACAGCCATGCATATCGGGTCTGCTGTGTGACTGGTCCGCCGCACCGGCCAACAGTCCACTTGGTCCACCCTCCGCGTCTAACCATATACATCGAGCTTGCAGGGTGGTTTGTCCGCCCGCACCGGGCCTTCAATCCACCTGGTCCACTCTCTGAGTCTAGAGTATGACTGGTCCGCCCGCACCGGGCCTTCAGTCGGCCTGGTCCACTCTCCGAGCCTCGGCACGTCTGGTCCGCCCTCGTGGGGCCTACAGCCTATCTGGACCGCTCGCTGGGCCTTCGGAATAACCGGTCCGCCCTGGGTATGTTGGCCAACAACACAAAGCAGGTCCCGCCTCAACCCAACCCCAGTCAAACAACCATGTGCATATAAACATACAATCATATAACAATTCATATTCAATCAAACCGATCTAGCAGATCACGTAACACAACATACTCTAAGCACGATACCGACCTAACTGGTCACTAGCATAGCATCATCCTATATACCAGGATACCGACCTTAACCAGGTCTCTAACGAATACTATCCTAACTACCAGGATGCAAACATAATAAAACAGCAACATAACAACAATACCCGGATTACAATCCGATAAAGGGTCGGCCTTGGTGCCTTAGACCCTGTTGATATAGTGAGGATAACTCACCTCACAACTGTTGACTGAAAAGGATAAGATCACGTTGTTGCAACCTCCGACCCGAACTCCACCACTGTTAATACCCAAAAGACTGAATTCAATAAATACCAATAATTACCAAATTACCCCTGGAAGTCAACTGGTCAACCCTTGGTCAAAGTCAACCTCCTGACTGACTCTACTCGCCAAGTCAACCCAATGACTCGTCGATTCCCCATGCTTAGAACTTCCCCAATCCCCAACTCAACTCGCCGAGTCACCCCGAGACTCGCCAAGTCTTGTAACTCTGAGTCCCCTCGCACTCAACTCACCGAGTCCTCCTTTGACTCGCCGATTCATGACTCAACCAGAGGAATATTAGGACCTTACGACCAGACTCGCCGAGTCCGAGGCTATCTTCAACCTACTCGCCGAGTTGTTCTTCCAACTCGCCGAGTTCCAGTCCATCTTCAAGCAACTCGCCGAGTACCACTAGTTCTTAGCCCATACAGAAGCCTTCCAGGCCATGCAATTGATCCAAAACGTAGATCTACCCTTGTACAACCCTTCCATCACGTAAAGTGGCAAACTTTACGTGAATCCAAGGAGATCTAGGCATTTACACTCTAGGGCTAGGGTTTGGGACAAGAGGTAACAACCTCAGATCTATCCTTCAAACTCAATATACCACAATCTAAGCTTCCCACACAACCCAAAAATGATAAATCTAGAAGAACACAGCCCAAGAACGAGATATTACCTCAAAATGAAGCCCCCAACAGCAAGGAATCCGAATCTAAGCAAAGCCCCTTGCTCCAAGCCTCCTAACTCTCCAAGATCTTCTTCAACTTCCTTCTCCAAGGCTCAAATGCACTCAAAACCTTCACAAACGCGTATCTAGGGTTTCTGGACTTCAAGGGAGATCAAAGAGGCTGGGGAGAGGGTATGATGTCCTTTATATAGGGCTCATCCCTTGAATTTAGGGTTTTCTTCACACAACGCCTACTCGCCGAGTACAGCCTTGGACTCGCCGAGTTGGCCACTTAACATGCGACCTGAGTCGCGACCCTACTCGCCGAGTCCTCCCATGGACTCGCCGAGTTACCCTTTAAATTTACACTTTGTACCCTGAATTTGCACTCTTGGACTTGGGATGTTACATTGTATCAGGTTGAAATAAAAGTTGAAGAAAAAGAAATAAATTGCAGTTGTGAGCATTTTAAGCGTATGGGTGTTTTATGCAGACATGCTTTTACAATAATGATGAGATGTGGTGTTAAAGAAATTCTTTGAAAGGTACATTTTGAAGAGATGGAGAAAGGATGTGATATCAAGAAATTATCGTTTTAGTTCCGTTTAATCTGATTCAGGTGATTGTGAGAATGTAAAGCTAGTCAATGATTCATATTATAGTTTTGAATCATGTTTGGATATTGTAAGAGATGACAAAAAGAGATTAGCTTTGTTTGCTGAGAGGCAAAAAATGTTGTTAGAGGAATTTGACGGTGATTATATTTCTCCTGGATTGAAAAGCAAGACATATGGTGAAGTTGTATGCAAGCTTTTGGGTGTTAGTATTCCTATTCCAGAAGAGATTAATATTCATGTTCCTGAAGTTCAAAGCAATAAAGGTTCTGGAATCAAGAAAAGAATTCTATATGCAGGTGAAGTAGCATATGAAAATTCTAAAAAAGAACATAGAATGTGTTCCAGATGTGGAAAACGAGTTCCACACAATTTACGTACTTGTTCCGAAAAATTTGGAGCTGCTAAATCAGCAAAATACAGTTAGGGATTTTTTTTAGTTTTTTTAAATGTTTTTTGGTTTTATTCATTATGAATATATGCAGATAAAAACAATAAACAGTAATATTCATGTTTGAATAATACACATTTATATTGATATGGTACATTGATATGTAGATATTTGTTTTTAAATTACTGTAAAATAAGTTATATTAATATTGTAAATTATTCATAAATGAATACAAATATGTGAAATTTTTTATACTAATAAATAAGTATATTCATATCTAAACTTTTTTATGTTAATATTTGAACTTTGTTATACTAACATATTAATTTGAACTTATTCATAAATGAATATATCATATTCGTATTCATTTATGAATAAATAAAAATAAAGTTTGAAAATATTTGAATATAAAAAAATAACATAAATAAGCAAACTTGTTTCTACTAATAAGTTAGTTATATTCATATATGAAATTTGTTATATTCATATATGAACTTTGTTATGCTAACATATTACTCCTAATTTAATCACAAATGAATATATCATATTCATATTCATTTATGAATACACATAAATAAACTTTGAAAATATTTAAATATAAAAAACTGACAGAAATAAGCGAAGTTGTTTCTATTACATAATCATTCAACACAAGATAATAAAAGTTGTTCATAAGGATTTCACAAAATATTAAAACGATATTCAATAACATTTAACAAACCATTTAAAACTTGTTTCGCATAATCATCTTGCATCTACTTCAAATCCATTCATCTTCAACACAAACTATTCTATAGCATCACACTTCAACATTCTTTCATGTTCACAAGCAATCATCAATATTCGTTTAACCTTTTTTGAATTGTTTGCATAGCCTTGTATGCATGATCATTACGCACTTTGAATTCAACTTTTTGATATTTTTCAGCAAGATCCAACACCTTAGCCTTCAACATGTTAGTTTCAGAAGTTAGCATTATGTGTTGCCTGAGTATCTCTAAAGTAGTTTGTTGAACTGCACTTTCTTTATGAAGACTTGGTTTCCACTTTGAGAGTGGTTGTCCCATATAGGTCTCCATATGTCTCATTGAAAAGACCCCACAATCAACTTTGTTTTTAACTGTTCCCCATGACATTTCAAGTCGTTGGGGTTTGATACTTTCTTTTGAGATTGCATTTGCTCGTGGATGGTTTATTTCTTTAAAGTGTCTCACAAAGAAATTTTTCTGATCATTAAATAAAATAAAAGTTAGATATGTAATAAATTGGTTCTTTTATGTTGTTTCAAATTGGGTACATACCATAGGTTTCAATATTACTCCGTATTTTCCTTCATAATCTCCCTCAACTGCACTATTGTCTAGAATTTCAATTGACGGTTTCTTTAAGTTGAAGACAATCACAAAACTGTGAGCACTTCTAACAACTGGAAAGAATACTTGTTTTTATGTATATAATGGTAAATATTTTGTTGATAAAATATATATAAAAAAACAACTTTAATTAACAAACCATGTCAATATCTTTTATGTTCAAGATTTTTTTGTACCCATTGGTACTCTCATGAAAGTTCTCCTTGAATTTTCATACTTTCTTTCATCAGACAATGTTGAAGTTAGATAAGTAGTATGTAACCAATATAATCATATGTGAATTTCAGTTGAATATATATAATTATGTTAAAGAATACATCATATTTGTATAATCATATGTGAATTTCAGTTGTAAAAAAGTATAATATTCATAAATGAATACATCATATTGGTGTATTCATTTATGAATAAGGAAGGAATTAAGTTTATAACATAAACTTACAGAAACTCCAACTTTCAAAAAGAGTCTATATGGTGAATTTCCAAAATCCATTTCCAGTTCTTGGTGGTTAAGTAAATCAGACCAAGTATCTAAAACTTCTCCAAAAATCTATGTGTTTACATATAGACTTTCCATAATTGCTCTTTTTGTTACCTGACCATATTTTGTCTGGACAACCACATCTTTGCAAATATAAAATCAAAATGTCATAGATTATTATCTATATAATAATCATATATGAATGAATATAAAATAAAGTTACTTACGATGTATTGCCTTATAAGTTGAACAACCATTCACAGACAATACTCTCCTGATGTGTCAGTTTGGGTTTTGCGTCTGTTATTCTGCATTTGAAAGGTGATTTGAAAGCATCAGCAAGCTTCTTCTCTCTTGGTTGATCCAGATCATGCTTTGATGGTCCTACTTAAGTAAGAATTGATACAGAGATTGGATTTGGATTAAGAACATTTGTCTTTGCTAATCTGATAACAACCTTCTGATGGTCTTCTTTGATTTGTTTCTTTGTAAGTGGTTTTTTTGGTGAAGATTCATTAGATTTTTTACTTGAAGTTTGATTTGAATCTTGACTGAGACCTAGACTAAAGCTTGGATGAGTATCTGCATGCCAGGAGATTTATCATATAAATAGTTGTAAGTTAATTATAATATTTGAGTTTATATTTTGAAATGTTTATCCAAATTGTTACCTCCTTTATTTCCTTTTGTCTTGTAAGCTTTTTCTCCTTTCTTGTTTTCATTTTCTGACCTTTTCTTTCCTGAAAGATAAAGAACTGTGATTAAGTAATTCATATGTGAATAAGTAATGTATTCATTTATGATTAAGTAATGCATATCATTATTTATGAATAAGAAATATTAATTTTTTATATTGCGTTATTTATTTGTGAATAATAAAACTTATTATATTCATTTATTAGTGATTCAACTATTTACCTTTATCTTCTGCATTTCCTTTCTCAGTTTCTGTTTGTTTTTCTTCACCTCCATCTTTCGTGTTCTTAGCTTCTGCTCCTCCTTCATTTCTATCTTCAGAGTTTTCCTTGCCTGTAACATATATATCATATATGAATATTTTTTATTGTTTATTCATTTATATAGTGTATTATTCACTTATGAATAAAGAATGTTATTAAAAAAAATCAATATAAATATTGTAATATATTTTAAATCATTCATTTACCTGTATCATCTCCCTTTGTTTTTTCAACTTTTGTTCCTTGTTCTTGTACACCTTCTGATTTTTCCTTTTCTGCAAGAGTATTAGTTTTACCTGTAGTCATTGGTGACCCTGGTCAAAATTTAACAACCAAAATTGTTATTGTGTATTAATATTTTTATATATTTAAAAAAAATAAAATTAAGGCAAAATTTACCTATATCAATATTATCGAAAATAGTTTTCATTTCAGGGTGATTCCAGATTTCATCCTCTTGACTATTTAAACTTGAAATTCCAATTCCAAGGACATTGTCCACAATGTTGTCAACAACTTTATTCAACAAATTTTTTTCAGTTTGTTGAATAGTCTCTTCATGATTATTTGTTTCCTCAGCATGATCATCCTTTTCCTCTTCATCATTTTCATTTTCATTCCTCTTTCCATCTTTCTCTTTTACTCCAATTTCACATTCTTTTTTATTCTTATCTACATCGTTATTTATTCCTTCATTCTCTGCTTCATTTGAACCAAACAAATAATCTACTTCTTGTTGACTTGCATCATTATCACTGTCTTCTTCACCATTTCCCTCTTTATCTTCATTTTCTTTTTGATCATTTATTTTTTGACCCATTATTGGTGTGAAATTGATTCCTCCAACTCCAGTTTCATTAACTGGAAAACTAAAAAGTGTTGTGCTTTCAATTTTTTCTTCAACAATCATATTTGTCATCTTTTCTTTGAAAATTCTAAAACTTTCCTTTTCAGAGAACTTTGTCATTGCATCATTAAGCTTTGTATTCAGCTTTTCCTTCATCCTCTCAAAACTATTAATCCTTTTTTATAATTTCGATTCATATGCCTATGTAACAAAAAGAAGTATATGATTAGAATTTAATATAATAATTTAATGTAATCATATATTATTAACATGTTCAAACTAATTACCTCAATAGAATGATCTTCATCTTTATCAGAATCACTGTCTTCAAGATCTGTATCTCCTTCATCTTATTCATCAACAAATTCTTCATTTATTTCTCCAAATCCAAATCTACCTTTTTCTTGTTCAAATGTCTCTCGATATCTAATCTTCTCTGAACTCTAATAACAAATTGTTGGACGTTTACGTGTTACTGTCAAAGCTTCTGAGTGGATGTTATCAGCATAGAACAACTGCACATGAATGATAACTAATTGATATTCATATACAAAGAAGTAATAGTATTTTTTACTTATTCATATATGAATAAGTAGTGACTTATTCATATATGAATAAGTAATGTTAATCATTACGTGTGAATAAGTATACTTTTATTATTCATATATGAATATGTGCTTTTAGTTTATGAATAATCAATATTATTAAAAATTGAGTATAAACATTATAATAACTTACCGCCAAGAAAGATGAAGGTCCAACAAAGAAGCTGTTATCCGAGTATGGTATGTATGAGTTTTTTGTTCTGACAAGACAGTCCAAAACATAGTTGCACCAGTCTATGTTGCTGATATATGTTTTTCTTGAAATGTAACTCAAAGGAAACAAGTTGCATCTTCCCATTGACGTTGACTCGCAAAACGTGTTGGCAAAAAGAACTAAGAAGTTCAATTTGAAATTTAAATCAACTTGTGTGGTAAAAAAAATAACATTTTTGATTGCACTCAGTCATATGATTGAATCTTTTTTAAATTGTTGATTCCATTCATCATAACTTGTATCATCCTTAGGCCATTGATCCAGTTGTGTAAGTTTGGTTCCACCAATTGGTATACCCAACATGTCATGAACAGACTCTGCTGTTACTTTCAGTTCCTTTCCTTTAATATCTATCACCATTCTCTCATAATCAAATTTTTGAAGAACATAAAATCCCAGCTTCAGTGGTATATCTGTGATTTTCATTTTTAACAAAGCTCCAAAACCCATTAATCTTACAGATTGTTTTTGTTCTTTGCTCATCCCAAGGATTATAGATAGTAATGCCTTTGGTGAACATCTTTTTTTCATTGAGTAAAATTCTTTTACTATTGGTTTTTTTTTTTTTTTGTCTTTTTTGATTGGAGGCTCCTTTTTTTTTTTTTTTTTTTTTGCCTTCTTCAATTAATGACTACTTTCAAAATCAGAATCAGAATCTTGTAGTTTTTGTTTTTCAGGAGTTTTCCTTTTTGATGGACTTTTTTTTTGCTTTGATGCTTTATTTTCTTTGGTACTTTTGTTTCTTTTTTAACTGGGAAATGAAAACATATAATATTTGAATACGTTACTGATATATGAATATGATATATGCTCATTGATTTATTAATATTTATTTATTACAAAAATATAAATAATATATATAATTTTATTCATATATGAATATATTAGATATGATAGGAATTTTGTACCTTTCGCATTTTTCCTGTTTTGCATTGATCTTGTTTCTCTGATTGTTGGTGAATCTTTATCGGAAATGTTAGTGCTCTTACCTTCATTCAATAGTAAGTAGAAGGTAAATGAGTTTGATATTCAGGAATTAATATTTGAATAAAACATATGTATTCATATTTTTTATTCACATATGAATATGTTTTGTTATATTCATATGTGAATAGAACATATTTAAGTCGTTCTTGTTGTATTCACATTTGAATAATGTATGTATGGCAGCAAGCTATCTTCTATTCATATGTGAATATAACATACATATTCAGGAATGAATATTTGAATAAAACATATGTATTCATATATTTTTATTCACATGTGAATATGTTTTGTTATATTCATATGTGAATAGAACATATATAAGTCATTCTTGTTGTATTCACATTTAAATAATGTATGTATGACAACAAGCTATCTTCTATTCATATGTGAATATAACATACATATTCACGAATGAATATTAGTTTTGTTTGTGTTCAGAAGTAAACAAAACATAGTTTATTTACCTTTTTGATTTGTTCTCGGTTTTCGTTTATATGTATTCTTCACTGTTGGTGTTGTTTCTGTAAGGGTAAGTAGTTAATATTAGGAAAACATAAGCGAAATGTTAAGTAACATTTGTATTTTGACAGTGATTTGAATAAAGATGAAAAATGAAAATATGATGTAAAATCATTTATATATCAAATCATAATGGATGATTCTTACAAAAAAATTCAAGTAAATAAAGTAATAACGAAGGAGGGTTACGAGAATGAACGAGTATCATAAATTTCAAGTAAAATTGAAGTAACTAACCTTTTTTGAAGAATAAAGAGTGTGAAAACAATGTTTTTAGTTCTAAATTAACTAATAATTTTTGAAGATTACCATAAATTTCGAGTAATCAAGTGATAATTTTAGAAATGATTCGAAATCGTTAAAAACTCGAGAAAAAACGCCGAAGGTTACCTTTCATTGTCAAGGGTGAGGAAATGGTCTCATTCATGTTTTCATCGGAAGACATTTTTCTTCGTTTATGTTATTTGATTCTTCTACAAATGGTTTTCGTGTTATGGTCTATCGAAGAGGGAAATGATGCTTTTCTGTCGAGATTTGATGTGATATCAAATTACTCAAGTGCCCTAACGGTTTAATTTTTTTGGATTATTTACAAATTTGCCACCGCTCATTAATGTATTTAGATTATTTACAAGTTTGTCACCGTGTGTTTTTTAAGCTCATTAAATGATTGGCTGAGAATGGTTCCCCCATTCTCAACCTTTTTTTTCTCAATTGAACACCCTATATATATATATATATATATATACACACACAGAAAGAGAGAGAGAGAGAGTTGGGTTCAATTGAGAAAATAAAAAAGGTTGAGAATGAGGGAATCATTCTCAGTCACTCATTTAATTAGCCTCTAAACATAAAGAACACGGTGGCAAACTTGTAAATATGATATAATAGCCTTCAATCACAAATACGTAAGTGTAGAGAATTAGATAACAGTTGAAATTTATTCGTTTTTTGCTCTTTCATTCCAACCTTCAACTCTGCTTGAATACGAACATATCTTCAACATCTACGATTAATTATACTCCCAACATCATTAGAACAACATCATCGATAATCAAGAAAAAATTCAATTTGTAGCATTCATTCAACATCGTTCATCAAATAAAACATCGAAATTAAGGTTACAAAAAGATCAAATCATTTTTGTTTGAAAATTTTCATATATTTCTCTACCAATCTACTATTTTGTAAGATTTAAATAGTCAAAGTATCATATTTATCACATTTTTAAAAACGTTAACCTGTATGCACTCCAACTGTTTGATGAAATGCATAAACTAAATTACCACGTTATATTCACATATGAATATGTTTTCTCACCTGAATCAATATGTGATTATTAAAACACAAAACAAATATGCAAGTCTGTATGTTATTCATATGTGAATAACATATAAAAATTAAATATATTTCTGAAAACACCTTGTAATATTCATATATAAATATACTGTGTAATATTCACATATGAATATATCAACTATTATTCATAAGTGAATATACGATCTAATATTCACAAGTGAATATAATATGTATTATTCTCATGTGATTACCATGTAATACTATATAATATTCACATACGAAAATATCATCTAACATTCACAAGTGAATATACTATGTAATATTCACAAGTGAATACATCGTCTAATATTTAAATATGAATATACTATGTTTAGTATATGCTATATTCATATATGAATGATACTTAAATTGTAAAAAGAAAATTAATCATAGTTTTTATTCATAAGTGAATAACGAATGTACTGTAGTAAAAAACCTGATTCATTTTTATTCACTTATGAATAACGATAGCTGAAAATATAAAAAGAAATTATTTTATCTTAAAACTATATCAATATGGATGTCTATTTGTAGAGAATAAAAAATCATGAATTTTGGTATATTTAAAATCATTTTTCGATAAAAATAGCTTCTTAAAAATTATTAAAAAAAAAAAACGAAAAAAGCATGTTTTTGTATATATTAAGGTAATATTTAGCATGGTTTAGGGAAACATGTTTTATTAGAAAACACATGTGCATTCCTTTCCTATTTCCGCCGGTACGTTGGAGGCTATTACGGCAAAAATAAATTATTGGCTGAGAATGATTCCCCCATCCCCAACCTTTTTTTCTCAATTGAACCCTCACATATATATATATATATATATATATATATATATATATATATATATATATCCTCCCTAATAAATAAAGATTTTTTTTGCCACTCGTCACATTCTCATTTATTTTGCCACATGTAATTTTGTGGTTATTTTTAAATTAATTTTTATTCCACATGTCATTTTATGGTTTTTTTTTTCATTTTATTAAATTGTAGATAGTATTTATATTCAATAATAAATACATATCAATTTCATTAATAAATTTTCCTTCTAATTTCAAAATTATCAAATTAAATACTCATTAATTTTCTTTATTTATTTATCTAAATTATTTGTTTAAATTAAAAAAAAACACACTTTAATTTTTATAATTCAATATTTTCTCACTTTTCTTATAAATTTATACTTTTCAAATGTTTAGAATTTTATATTTAGTTTCATTTTTTAAATAAACTCATGTAATACATGGGTCTCACACCTAGTGTGTGTGTGTGTGTGTATATATATATATATATATAGAGAGAGAGAGAGAGAGAGTGTGTGTGTGTGTGTGTGTTAGGTTCAAATTGTTTTATTATTTATTGTGTGTATATAGGATTGATTCTAGACCAATCATTTTAGTTTTTTAAAAAAAAATTAATTAATGCATATTAAATGCTGAAAATTTAATTAATACTTATTATATTTTCAACATTTAATATGAATT